GAGGTTCGAACTCCAGCAACCTGAGGCTGAGAGCTTTGTGGAAGCAGCCACTTAAAGGCCTGAGCTAGGGCCATGCCCCAGTGTCAAGGTTTCTGCTGAGAGTTTTCCTACTTCTTTTGCGGAACCAGGGATTGAACGCAGATCCTTGTGTTTGCCAGTCAAGCGCTTATCCTACTGAGCCATCTTCCCGGCCCCCAAGTTTTCCTACTTTTAGGGGCACTTTTTTAGTAACCATTCTCAAATCCAGATTTTCCTCAATTAACTGCACCCCAGGGAGTTTAATAAAAAATGTTTTATTCATTCTTTTTCTTTGTGGCGCTAGGGATCAAACTTGGGACATTGCACTTGCCAGCCAGGAACTTATGCAGCTGAGCTATCTCCCTAGCCCCTATCATTTCAACTCATTGTGTAAACCGTACGATATGTGGGCATTACCACCCACAGTATAAAATGGCATAAAAATTGCCACTGGCCAAGGGCTGGCCATCCTGGACGTCAGATACAGTACAACACACACTGTCCATCTCCAGTGTCAACAGAAGTGCTGTGCTGCATACTTGATATTACCATGGCACTAAACTAACGTGCTGATAGCAGAAAATCCAAATCCTGATCACTGAACGATTTAACATTTGGTAAAAATTCAGGTGGTACATAGCCCTCTTAATTTTTTTTCAAAGTGTCTACATAAATCAAGTTTTTCTTTTTCAGTTCATCATGAAGTTCCACTGAGCTGTACCAACTATCACCAGCAATTACGTAATACATTCCACAAGATTAAGAACTTCTCATGAGACTTGAAGAGGTGGGTTTGGTTGGGTTAGCTGTCTTCTTTCCCTCGGCACCAGCACATATTTCTACACTTTGCAGGTTAACGATTTCAGTGTCCGCTTGAGCTTGCACCTTCGTTCCCTCTTTGGCTGGTTAGGCATAAATGGACTAAATCTGCATCTTTCTGCAGATGGTCCTAGCCTCTCATCTACAGCCAGCTGAAATCCAGGAGTAACACTGACCTACTGACGTATACATCAACTGAGCCAGAGAGTAGCTAACTTATTTGTCTTGACTCTCTCTTTTCTGGTTTTCACATTATCAAGTCTGAGGCAACATAGGAAAAAAATGATAATCAAGCTAGACTCATAACGGCATGAAAATTGGGTCTTTCTGTTCCATCTATCGTCCACAATAACAGTAACAAGACTTAAAACCAGTAAAATCTATAACAACTTAGTGCTTCAACACAGGAAAATAAGTTACGTCGTATGTGCTACTGACGTGTCGCCAGGACCTGATACACCACACTTTTTTTCTGTGCAGAACTGGATACACTGAGGAGACTCATGCACAGTGAGTCAAGTACTGCACATGGTAGGAGACTACAGAAAGGCTGAGTAAGCAATAAAGGCACATTAAGAAAACGGAACTTTAAAAACGCACTGAGTTCTCAGGACCCATCGGTAGTAGGTGCTGGTTAAACAGGCATGAAAACTCTAGTCCCAGTAAGCAATTTTTAAAAATGCAAAGAAAAGCTTTTTAAAAATCATATATTTTAGGCTGGGGAGATAGCTCAGCAGCATAAGTACCTGCTTGGCAAGTGCAAGGTCCTGAGTTTGATCCCCCGTACTAAAAAAAAGCCCCCAAACACATATTCTGACTCCTTTGTAAGGAGTGCTTTAGAATCACACAAATACACAAAAATTAATAAAGAACTGAGAAATGAGGATAGCAAGCAATCAGAAATACAACTGTTGTGGACGAAACAGGCTGTGTACAGACTATGAAGCAGAACAGTATGTCACTTCCCTTATACTGCTTTGAACAAGAAAATAAAAGACAGGCCCGACTGGGTAACAGCATACTTAATTTTAATTCAGTAATATTCATCTGCGACAATTTCATTTCAAACAAATCACATTTACAACACTGACATCTTGAAAATCGGCCAAAAAACATCCTTTTAAGAATTAAATGCAAATTCCTGGTTTAAAACAATCTGCATGACTGGCCAACCATCTCATGTTACCTTGTAAAGTGCCGGCCATTAGCATGCCTCTCTGTTATTTCCATTTTCGTATGGAAACTAGAATCTGAAGAAGTCTGCGCACTTTTTCTGAAGGACCTTAAAGAGCGAGTCCGGTGATAAGTTCTGACTTCCTCAACTAAAGATCCATCCTGTAAGAAAAATGAAGAGAGCAATCAAGTCTTTCAGTCAAAACCCCCAATTTAAACTCCTCCTAAAAGTTTTATTTGGCTGCAAATTGGTAAAAATTGCTTTTAATGCAAAACCATCATGTATCCCTTTAAGAAACACTAAGTTGAAATCTCATTTCAAAATAAGTATCAGCAATGGCTACAGAACAGCTAATGTAAGATTTAGTAATTATTCACAGCTAACAAGTTGATTAGGGGGCTGGTGAGATGGCTCAGTGGTCTAAAGCACCTACTTAGAACAAGCTTAGCAGAGCATAGGGACCGCGGTTCAATCCCCCAGCACCACATGCCAGCCAGCCCCGCCCCCTGGTGGGCTGAGCTGGCCACACACACACACAAATAAATAAATAA